TTCGCTCTTCAAACTTCCTCTTCTCAATTATGAAGCGACCACCAAATAGCACGCCAAAACTACTAATAAGGGCCTACTGAGGATATCACGAGGGTCAGGCGAGGTGAGTCATTCGAAATAGGGGAAAAGAGAAAGGAAAGAGACAGGGACGACAAAAAGGAGGCTAGCAACAAGCGCAGCAGAATAGAGAGGGTGTTAGTCAAGGACCGGCTCGGTCCTGCTCCTCAGAGAGACCGACAAGCCTTCATTCCCTAAATGCCGTTGTCGGGCACATCCTATTCCAGATCCAGGATGACCTCGCAATAAAGTGGCCTGGGAGGATGAAGTCTCCTCCAAACTACAGGAACCCGAACAAGTACTGTCAATTTCATCGCGATCATGGCCATGACACCAACGATCGCTATGACCTCAAAAGATAAATTGAGGACCTCATTCAACGTGGTCACCTATACCAGTATGTTACTGGTAGAGGACAGGCACCACCACCGCCTCATAACCAGGAAGATCTACAGCCTGTTGGGGAAATTCACACTATCTCGGGAGGACTAGCAGGAGGTGGAGAGTCACTCTCTGCCATAAAGGTCCACTCCAGAAAGGCGAGGCTCCTCGATGAATTGCGTCCATCCAAAGCGCCCAAGCAGGGCATCAGTGAGATTATATTCTTCTTAGATAAGGACTTGGAAGGAATTCAACACCCCCATGACGACCCTCTAGTGCTCACCATGACCGTTGCCAATTTTTAGGTGAGGAGGATCCTAGTGGATAACGGCAGCTCTGCAGATATCTTATTCGCAGAAGCTTATGACAAACTCAATCTGGGAAGGGAGAGATTGCAGCCTATCAGATCACCCCTCATTGGGTTCTCAGGGGAGAAGGTGTATCCCCTAGGGTCCATCACCCTACCAGTCACAACTGGAGTAGCACCCCGAAGCTCCACAGTCATGGTTAATTTTTTAGTAATAGACTACCCATCAGCCTACAACATCATATTGGGGTGACCTGCTCTTAATACATTAAGAGTTATACCCTCCATCTATCATCTCATCCTCCGCTTTTCAACCCCAAATGGAGTTAGAGAGGTCAGAGGAGACCGGGTAGCAGCAAGGGAGTGCTATGTCTCCTCTATGAAGACCAGGAAACCGCAGGAGGTGTTGCAGGTTAAGGTCCTTGACCCAAGGATTGACGTCACCATAGAAAGAGGAGAACCGATCGAGGAGCTCACCGCTGTGGTCTTGGATGAGAAGCGTCCAGACAAAAGAGTATACATTGGTTCTTCCCTTTCTGAAGATCTGGTTTGCCAACTAATAGACTTTTTGAGATGTAACATGGACGTCTTTGCATGGTCACATGCAGACCTTGAGGGCATCGACCTAGAAGTGGCACACACATCGTCTCAATGTTGACCTGCATCACAAGCTTGTTTGCCAAAAGCTAAGGGGCGCCTCCACTGAAAGGACCCAAGTTATGGACAAGGAGGTGGGAAAGCTAATAGATAATGGGGCGGTCAGATAAGTAACATATCTTGAATGGATCTCCAACGTGGTGATGGTGACTAAAGCTAATAGGAAGTGGTGCCTCTGCGTTGACTTCACAGAACTCAACCAGGCGTACCCAAAAGATAGCTACCCGCTGCCACGGATCTACCTCCTCATCGATGCCACCGCATGATACGAGTTGTTCAGCTTCTTGGATGCATACTCTGGCTATAAACAGATTAGCATGTACCCCCCAAACCAGGAAAAGACATCATTTATCACTCCAAAAGAGACCTACTGCTACAGGGTCATGCCCTTCGGGCTAAAGAATGCAGGAGCAACCTATCAACGGCTGGTGAACAAAATGTTCCAGTCTCAGATTAGGCGAACGATGAAGGTCTAGGTTGATGACATGTTGGTGAAAAGGCTCACCACAGCAGACCACATTGACCACCTCCAAGAAACCTTCAACATCCTCAGGTCGTACCGCATGAAGCTGAATCCTCAGAAATGCACCTTCGGTGTAGGGTCAGGAAAGTTCTTAGGCTTTATGGTCAACTAGAGGGGAATTGAAGCGAACCCCGACAAGATCAAGGCCATCCCCGACATGAAATCACCCACCTCGACCAGGGAGCTCCAGCGCCTTAACAGAAGAATTGCAGCTCCAAAGGCTCAAAGCCTACTTGGCTATGTCTCCCTTCCTTCACATGCGACTTCAGGAGAAACTTTATATCTATGCGTTTTTGCTTCCCCATCGGTAGTAAGCTCTGTCCTCATCATAAATGATGATGGAGTGCAGAAGCCTATCTACTATGTGAGCAGAGCATACCGAGGAACAAAAGTTAGATATTCAGGGTTAGAAAAGCTAGCGCTCGACCTGATTTCAATAGCAAGGCACCTACGACATTACGTTCAGAGTCACAACATTGTTGTTGTCACAGACCAACCTCTAAAAAGAGTCTTGCGGAAGCTGGACATATTCGGTAGACTTCTTAAGTGGCAGTGGAACTCGGCGAGTTCGATGTTCATTACCAACCAACGGCAGCCATCAAAGCACAAGCCCCAACGGATTTCATTGCTGAGCTTACACCAGCAAAGGAACGGAGCAACGAGTCTTCTACCTCGGCCGGCGAGGACACCCAGATGCCTAACAAGGACTCTCAAGCGCCCAAACTGGGAGCCCAGGCCATCCCAAGCACCCAACTCTCCTCCTTAGGAGCCCAACTCTCCTCCACAGGCACCTAGGTCTCCTCCACAAGCGCCCAGCTCTCCTTCCCAGGCGCCCAACTCTCATCCTCAAGTGCCCAAGGCTCCTCCCCAGGTACCCAGGTCTCCTCCCCAAGTGCCCAGGTCTCCTTCGTAGGCACCCATTTCTCCTCCCCAAGCGCCCAACTCTCCTCTGTAGGCACCCAAATCTTCTCTCTAGGTGCCCAGGTCTCCTCTTCAAGCACCCAGGTCTCCACCTTAGGCACCCAACCTTCCTCCTCAAGCACCGAGGCACTTCCAGGCGCCCATCCTCACGCCCAAGCTCTAACTTTAATCTATGATCCCTCTTCTTTACCACTCTGAAAGCTTTATATAGATGGCTTCTTAACCAGTGAGGGAGGAGGAGCAGGCTTGATCTTGATCAGCCCCGACGGTACTCCCCTCAAGTATGCAGTGAAGCTCCACTTTACTGCTTCCAACAATGAGGTAGAGTATAAAGCCCTCCTCTCTGGATTAAGATTAGCAGCTGAAATGGAAGCTCAGCACCTCGCCATTTACAGTGATTCTCAGTTGATAGTTAATCAGGTAAAGGGCGAGTTCGAAGCAAAAAGAGCCAGAATGCAAGAATACCTCAGCATGGTGAAAAGTTTGATCACAAAGTTCCAATACTTCCAAATTTTTCATATCCCGAGAGAAGACAACATGGCCGCAAATGCACTCACCAGGCTCGCCTCATCTTTGAAAGCCCTACTAGGAGGATCAGTATTCATCAGTCACCAGTTCGAGCCAAGCAAGTTAGATGTGGAAGCCATAAACGTTAACTGTGCTTCGGCTGAATCAAACTGGATGACCCTGATAAAGACATACCTCCAAGAAGGTGCGCTGGCAGATGACCCTCTAGAGGCCAGGAAGCTCAGGATGAGAGCCTCCAAGTTCACCATTTTACAAGACACCCTGTACAAGAAAGGCTACTCCTTGTCGTTACTGCGTTGCCTTTCACCAAAAGAAGCCAATTATGCCATGTAGGAGATCCATGAAGTAGTTTGTGGGAATCACTCTAGAGGACGCTCCCTCGTCCACAGGGCGCTCAGACAAGGATATTTTTGGCTTAGCATGGTGAGGGACGCCCAGGAGTTCACCAAGAAGTGCGACAAGTGTCAGCCGCCAGAGAAGCTGACAACCATAACAAGTCCGTGGCTTTTTTCTAAATAGGGCATCAACATTCTAGGCCCCCTACCTCTCAGTAGAGCACAATGTAAATTCGTAATGGTCGTCATCGACTACTTCACGAAGTAGGCAAAAACAGAACCCTTAGCAAAAATAACAGACACGGAGGTGAAAGATTTTATCTGAAAAAACCTGGTCTGTCGCTTCGGGATACCCCACGCCATCGTCAATGACAACGCTAAGCAGTTTGACAACAAAACTCCTGAACTCTTTCTGCTCCGATCTTCAGATAAAACAGCCTCATTCTAGCCCAACACACCCATAGGCAAATGAACAAGCAAAAGTCATGGTGAGAATGATGCTACACAACCTAAAGATAAAGGCTTGAAAGAGCAAATGGTCTTTGGGTTGACGAGCTCCTAGGAGTATTATAGGCTTATCGAACCACGCTAAGAACTCCTACTGGGGAAACCCCTTTCTCCCTCGCCTTTGAAACTGAGGCGGTCATCCTAGTGGAGATAAGGGTACACTCTTTAAGGGTCCAACACCACGACCCTATCACCAATGAGGAAGGACTTCACATCAACCTCGACTTGGTGGAGGAGGCAAGGGAGATGGTTGTGGTCCAGAATGTGGAATACAAACGACGCATGATGAAGTACTATAACTCGAGGGTGAAGCCTCGTTCCTTCCAACCAGGAGACTTGGTCCTCAAGAAAGTGATCCTCGCCACAAAGGATTCATGCGAAGGAAAACTGAGACCAAAGTGGGAAAGACCCTACCTCATAACAGAAGTGGTGAGGCCAAGCACCTACAAGATCTAGAATTCTGAGGGGAAGGTCTTACTCCATCTATGGAACGTGGAGCACTTGAAGAGGTACTACCAATGACACCTTGAGAAAATCAAAGTAGTAGAAGTTTGGGACTTGATTTTATTTTTTACCTTTTTGGGATTATTACCCAATATTCAATGTACTTTTTTGGGGATTATTACCCAACATTGCCTCATATAAGTAGTGGATAAATAAAATTTTCTACGTTTTACTCCAAAAAAAAGATCTTTGCATTTTCATAATTTACTCTTAATTCTACTTTGACAAGTTGATATTTGTACATTATCATCGTATGTTTTTTTTTATTCATGTGATGCAAAACACGTCAGACACGAGCCACGGCAGGGAGGGATATTCCGGATCTGGCAGATATTTTACAGGCACAAGAACGCCGGTAATTTCTCTCTCTCGGAGTCTCGGTGGAGTTTGGACCAGCAGACAATAGCCGAGGTTTTCTATTATCATACTTAAATTTCTCAGTTCAGAACAGGTTATCTGATATTCAGCTCTGTTTATTTATAATTTTTGCTTTAAATTATCTGGAATTTATGCTCGTTAATTAAAGAAATTGATTGCTTTTATGGTTTAGTATTCTAAAGCTTATGCTTAATTAGGCTCATAGACCTAGAATTTGTGGTTGCGGGGATTCTCGTTAGTCGTTACGATCTTGTGCGCGTACATTTTTTGATATATCGTATCGTCTGCCTGTTGATCATACAGAGTACAGTAAAATTATTGTTGTTTTCCATGTTTTCGTTTTGTATTGATGAGGTCTGCGATTTTATTTTATTTTTTTCCCAGGAAATAGTATTTGGTCAAAATTTGGAATTGGCACTTTGGGCTTTAGAAATTTCTTTTGGTAAATAAAACTGAATTTTTATTTATAGGAATGATGCTTTACATCTAAGGGGAAAACATGGAAAATCCTTAAGCACAAAGTGAATGAGACTTGATCAAACTCAATTCTCATTTACTAGAAATTTATTTTTTCTTTTTTTTTGGTTAATTTTTTTTTTTTATAAAGGTGCTTCCAATCCCAATTGGTTTGGTTTCCTATCTAACCTATCTAATTTAAAATTAAGTGGTTTTCTTTAACACATTAGTTTGTTTGTTTTTTTTTTCTTTTGGGGGGGGGGGGGGTAAATTGTAGTAAACATTTTAGTGTTGGGTGGTCACTTGAAAATGCAGATTTGTAGCTCAGAAACGTGCTCACAACCCTTACCCCTTTAGTTTTTTTTATTACAAAATTATACTCGTCTGTACTAAACCTACATGTACTGGTTAATGTTTGTCACAAATAGTTCAATAAATCAAAAATGTGATTCTTGATCCCTGAATTTATCGTTATTACACATGGAAGAGCAATTGTTTATTGCAGTTTTATGTTCTTATCATTGTGATGAAACTCCGTTTAGAAATTATTGAAACGTCGTAATTGCACAAGGGTTGCAGTGTCAACATTCTTATGAGTTTGCTGCTGCTACCTTTTGCTTGAATCGACATGCTTAGTGATTTTATATCCATTTTTTACTGTTATTTTGAAGTAAGAATATATTTCCTTTTCTTGTGGTGGTCCAGGCCTAAATATCGTGTTTTCTAACGAATTTTATTCTTGGTATATCTCTGCTTCACCAACAAGTGCTGTGTTGAAGGTTTCTTAGTTCCCCATCCATCTATCTTGTTAGCATTCTCTTGTTTATTATTTTGAAGACAAAAGCCAGGGAATGTGGAAAGCCAGTGTTCGGAAACGTTTCTCTGAAGTCCACAAGGATTTGGCCTTACTAGAGCTGCCTTTCCGCATCCTTCATAGTCATCATATAGATTGCAGTTTATTTGCTCCCTGTGTCCAAATGGACCTTGTGTTAATGCACAGCCTGTGCAAAGACGGTTGAGCTGCTTTGCTGTTCAATAATCCTAAGCTGAATGTTACAGATATTATATTAGTCGGAGGGGACTGCAGTATTATCTAATATTAGCAACTTTAGCATTCAGATGGATAACAAAGTGAATGTGTTGATGAAAAGTTATGATTTAGGGAGATTGCTAGGCCAAGGGACATTTGCTAAGGTATACTATGCAAGAAGTCTCAAAACTGGGGAGAGCATGGCCATTAAAGTAATAGACAAGGAAAAGGTTTTGAGATTTGGGCTCATGGAGCAGATCAAGCGAGAAATCTCTGTCATGAGATTGGTCAGACACCCTAATATTGTGCAACTTTTTGAAGTCATGGCTACCAAAACCAAGATCTATTTTGTTATGGAATATGCTAAAGGAGGTGAGCTCTTTAGTAAGGTGGCTAAAGGAAGGCTAAAGGAGGATGTTGCTCGAAAATATTTTCAACAGCTGATCAATGCTGTTGATTTCTGCCACAGCAGGGTTGTCTATCACCGGGATTTGAAGCCAGAAAACTTGCTTTTAGATGAGAATGAGAATCTTAAGGTTTCTGATTTTGGGTTAAGTGCCCTTGCTGAATCAAAGCACCAAGATGGGCTACTTCACACAACGTATGGGACTCCTGCATATGTTGCTCCTGAGGTAATTAATAGGAAAGGCTATGATGGAGTCAAAGCTGATATTTGGTCTTGTGGGGTGATCTTATTTGTTCTGTTGGCTGGTTATCTTTCATTTCATGATTCAAATTTAATGGAGATGTATAGGAAGATAGGCCAAGCGGAGTTTAAATGCCCCAATGGGTTTCCACCTGAAGTACGCAGGCTACTGTTGAGAATATTGGATCCAAATCCAGATCCCAGGATCTCGATCGCAAAAATTAAGGAAAATTCTTGGTTCAAAAGGGGATTAAACTCTAAATCAACAAAAAGTGCAACAGAGAGTCAGAAATTCTTCAAATATAGATGTACCTTCTGGTTCATGTGAGAATACTGCTATGGCTGCTGAGGCAAAACAAGAGTTGGTGAAGATTTCAAACTTAAATGCATTTGACTTAATCTCCCTTTTTCCTGGTTTTGATCTATCTGGACTGTTTGAGGAACCATGTCTGAAAAAAGTAGCAAGATTCACATCCTGGCAACCTGCCTCAGTCATCATCTCTAAACTGGAAGAAGTTGCTAAGCATCTGAGACTAAAGGTGAGTAGAAGGGATGGAGGGCTGTTGAAACTCGAAGGAATGAAGGAAGGTAGAAAAGGAATCTTGTCAATTGATGCTGAGATATTTGAACTCGCTCCTTCCTTTCATTTGGTGGAGCTGAAGAAATCTTGTGGAGATACATCGGAATATCAGAAGATGTTGAAAGAGGGTATACGACCTGGCCTCCAACCTATTGTTGGGGCATGGCAAACTAATGAAAAACCAGAGCAGCCACTGTAGCAATAACAACTGTGACAACAGCTGCTACTGCAGGAGCAGTTGTTACCTTGACTGTCAAAACATTTCAAAATTTTCACGTCTGTAAATTTCTATAATCTGCCTTTCTTCTTGACGGCTGTATCATGTCCCTCCCTCTAAATAATCTGACCTTAACTTGGCATATGTGCTCGTTGGCTTCCTTTTCTTCCGTTTTCTTTCCCTTTCTTGCACAGTTGTGATGATCTTTAAATGTCAATGATATGGTCATCTTTCTATTGCTTTCCTTGCACCTGCAATGTATCATGGAAAAACTTGCAATCCAAATTTCGTAACAAAGAAGTTGGTAGGCCACATCCTGCTGACTGCTGATTATTTAGCGAGTTATGAAAACCCCTGAAATGTGGTATTGCAAAGAAGGAAGAGGGACAGAGATATTGTCTTATCGAATTACAGTAAGAAAATATATCAAAACGTAGCCCATGTTTATTCCAAAAAAAAAAAGGATTCCTGTTTTTCCATGGAATATAGGTTACATGTTAGAATTTATAAAATTAAACAAAAATGGGTGACTTGGTCAAATCAATGATTTCGGGACAAAAAGTAGAGAATCTTCTCTTCTTGCTGCTTGAGATGATTTTGTTGGCAGGCGAAGGAGTAAACACATCTATGATTTCAACTTCAGATGATGCAATATAACTCTTTATCAAATGCTGACTTTTTTCTGCAGCTATTTTAGTGGTCAAATGTTTTGCAGCGGGCGGTTTCATTTCAAAACCATGCTCTTCAATCAATCTGAACGTATCTTCAATTTCTATTGTGATATGTTCAGATGATAATAATGCTCTCACAGGGGACTTGTTGAGACAAAATGGCTGTCGAAGCTCTTTCATTCTACTGGATGAGTCCCTTGGCAGCCTCGCACCAAATTCTTCTATCCCTCTAGTTTGTTCGTCTCCACTTTCTTCCATCCATCCGATTGGTTGACAAGTACTTTCTTCAATGCCATTAAAAGTATCTGCAGAATTATGATTTGTTGGATGCACTGATCCTTCTGTTGTTGATCGCTGGAATCCACCAGTTTCATCACATTCTTCATCATCATCCCACTCATCTTTTTCACAGGCATTCCAATCACCTCCTGTGTAACATGGAAGCTCATCCATGGAACAAATTTGGACCTTCATGTGCTCTGGTAAACTTGGACAACCCGAAGTATGCTTTTGGTATTTCGTTGAGAAAAAATTTATTGTCAGCTTCAAGCTGAGCACATGTAGCAAATTGTAAGCAATTGTACCACAAAAACATTGGATTTAAACCATAAGAAACAAGTATCATACCTCTGCCAGGATGGAAGGGTAAGCATTGTGTAAGCCAATTTAATCTTATTGGCAAGTCCTGAGAGAGACTTAAATGTTGCGGCTGCCTTCCTTACAGCCAGTGATTCTACTGGGTGTTGCCAGGCCCACTCAAGCTGCAAGTTTTAAATGAACATTCAGTTGTTAGTTAAATGCTCTTTCCATTCATCTTAGCTTGTGAAACAGAAAAGAGATTTTGCAACCCAATTGGGGGAATGTGTTTGTCACAGCTAGAGAAGGGACTTGGCATGTTAGTATTATATCATAAGACACGATTTTAAAGCTCAATAGTTGGAATCACAGATAAACCAAAAATCGCATTCAATAAAATGTTAGCTGAGTTCACCAATTCTTGCTCAAGACTGAAATTTCCAAGAAACGTTGAATTTTTTTTTCTTTCAATCCAACAACCAACCTTATCATTATTTATGAATTGAGCAATACCAAGTAAACAAACCTCCACCTCATTAACCGATAAGTGATCATGCATAATGGTAACTTCATGGTGTGGCCAATATCCAATGATAGACATTCAAATGGCTACAGATCATGCATAACATTATGATGCAGACATAGGAGGGAAGATGGGAAATCACAAGAAATTAGAGAGGAAAATCAATGCTTACTATTTCAACCAATACGAAAATGAAATTATAAGAAAGAGTTTAAACAAGGGCTAGCAAATTAAACTGAGAATAAGGTACCTGAAGAGCAGCTACATTGGTAGGGAAGCCATATATGCACAATACCATTTCCCAAGGGCGCTTGCTCTTGGTCCTCCAGGCACCGGACCTCATTTCCCCGTTATGCTGCCTAATTCTACGCCGCGGATTCACTGTGAATCTACAAATTAAGGACAAACAGTCAGCATAAAGTACTCAGAAAAACCCAATTGTGATGCAAATTAAGACCATAAAAGCAATCCAAGTTATAATCCAATAGATCAATTAATTATCCATGAAATTTTTTGTTACCATGATAGATGAATACAGCCTTTTTTTTATCATACTCTATGCAAGAACATGAACCCAAGAAAAATTGGGTAAAAAAGAATGGAAAGAGAAAAAAAAAACCCACGAGGACCTTCCTTGTATTGCATAGAGAATAAAAGCTAGAAGAATGTACTTATGATCAGAACTCTAATGGCTGCAACTAAAGAGACCCTGATGAAAACTAAAAGAGATTGAAAAAGAAAAGTATGAACGAACGGTTGATTAGACGAACCCGATGTAAGTGTGGCCCTGGTGCCTGGGGCTGAGAGAAGTCAGCAGATAGCATGCGAAGAACTTTCCCCCCTTCTCTTTCTCTGTCCCTACTTCTGATTCTCTCTCTCTTTCTGCATCTCTATCCACTCCTCCATGGATTTGGGTTTCTGGGATCTCCGTTCTTTTCCTTCTCCCCATCTCTCTGTCTCTGTCTCTCTCTCAATCTCTCATCAGAAGCAATTTGACCGTTGCTTTTACATCTAATTATCTATTCCATTTTGGAAATCAAAATTTTGAAAGTTCCGTTCAAGTGTTTTTCTAGTTGCATCTAGCCCATTTCGTGAGCCCAAAATATTTTTGTTTTAGTCAAGTGGACTAAAGCCCAAATATGTTGGGCCTAAGCTTCCTCGATTAAGCCTCTATCTATGACAGGGTCGAACAACCCAGTTGACTGGCTTTTAGCATTTTCCAATCCTGTACTCCAAATTGACGCGTTCCGTTACCAAAACACCAACAATTAGGAATTGAAATTCCAATGCCATTTTCTCTCCAAAAAATAAAAATACCTGCCCAATCAATAACTTGGCTCCTCTGTATTTGGGGCTTTTTCAATCCTACCGATAAAAGTTTTATTAAATTTGATTAGGAGTCCGTTTGGTTAGCAAGAAAAAGATGATAAAAAATAAAATATATAAAAAGTGGAGTAAAAGAAAAGAAAGTGAAAGAAAATATATTTTTCATGCATGCAATTGGTTAGCATGAAAAACTTCTAAGAAAATTTTAAAATAATTTTATTCCATTGTTTGAAAGAAAGGGAAGTTACAAGAATTTTTTTTTTAATTGTCTAAATTATCTTTAATTATTTTAACTCGGTCTAAAAAAGAAAAAATATTTTTTATTATTCAAAATTTTAAAAAAATGGCTCCTAATCTAATTCAGAGACTAGAATCTACTCAAACCCTAATCTCTATACCAAATTATATGGTTAGTCTAATTTGTACAAATTTTTTTAAAATTAATAACTAATTGAATATTTTTTAAAAAATAAGGGTACAATGGGAAGTTAGGTTATTGAACACAATTTTCTTGCTTTTTCTTGTGTTTTTTGCAAGAAAAAAAAAGTTAGTTAAATGTGAGAAAATCTAAGTATGGAAGAAAATTATTTTTCTATCATTTTCTATTTCATGCTAAACACACAAATGTAAAATTTTAAAATTTTCTCTTTCTTGTATTTTCTAGTATTATCTTGCTAAACAAATGGACCCTAGAGAGGCATGTTAAATAAAAATTATCACGCTCCTTATTGAAAAAAAAGTACTATTTTCCCCCTCTTTTTCATGGATCTTGAATACTTCGAATATTTCTTTTTTCTTTTTCTTTTAAATTGCACCCTCAATAAAATTAATTGGTAGCAATGTGAACATCTGTTATGATTCCCGTCAAATTAACAGCCACATGAGATGCACGTGATGACTTTTATTGAATTACGACAAACTTCTTCTTTTCACGTACATCTCACGTGCTCAGTCAAAAATCACAACGGACGTTATGACTTAATTTTATTGAGAGTGCACTTTGAAATAATTGATCTTTGAGGGTGAGAATTGAGAATTTTATAATATTTTAGGCTGTCATTTGCCCTTTCTTTTCATTTTTCCCTTCTTTGTAGAACTGTTGTCTGAATCTCTTGAAACAAAACCGAGTAAGCCCAAACCAAACTATCCTAACTCAGAATTCTCACTATATAAACTGGGTTCTCGGGCTTGTTAGCATGCTATGCACCCTTGGTTTCACTGTAAAATAATTAGATTCGCTACAAGGTTCGGTTACACACTTACACAAAGCAAATGAATGTTCCCTTTCGAATCAAACCATATTTCCAATCTGCATATTGTTAAACCAAGTTGCATACCCAAATCCAACGAATTATTTATCAAATTACTGTATTTTTTAAACAAATATACTAAAATATCTCATTTTTAAACTTATTTACTAAACTACAACACTTTTTTAAAAATAGAGTCAATAATTCTACTTTTATTAAAAAACGGATTCAACAATCCCACTTTTGTTAAAAAAACGGGATCAATGATTTCGCTTTTAAATAAAAAATGTGGTCCAAAATAATGAACTGAAACACTTTAAAACCGTGGTTACTAACCACACTTTTTCACGTGTTTCAAATGGTGCGAAGAAACCGTCTGCACTTTTTGGTGTTTTCTGGTTAAACCTTCTGCACTTCAAGGGCCAATAACTCCAAGCCAACTCCATCTTTTCTCATTCTTTACCAAAACCTATCTCTAAAAACCCTCAAAATCTTTCAAAACCAACCATGATTTGATCGATCAACACCCCCACAAATGGGTGTACCCAGAAAACCCTTTTGCCTCTTTTTTCTTTTTCTGGTCTTGTTCACCAACCTTCAGATGATCCAGCAGCTGAATCTGCCTTGATAACACCAACTTGGCGTACAAGGGCTGTGCAAATCAGGCTTTATCAGATCTTGATTGAGATGCTTGAACGTTTCAGCTTCCGAGTTCGTAAGTTCGGTGAGGTCCACCATCGATGAAGTCCGACAAGTCATCTCCAAATTCACCAATGCATTTGGTGATTTTCGGCTGTCCAATTCCATTTCTGACTGTCTTGAAGTGAACCACAGAGAAAAAACAGAAAATTACCCACCTTTGCAGTCGAATTTGACACAGCCAAGTTTCACTTCTCTCTAGTTTTTGAACCAGCGACCTGCCCTGTTTTGTGTGAAAAAACGTGTTTAATAAACACGTTTTTCACAAAAAAACGTAAAAAGCGCTTTTCTCATTACCCAAATTTTTCGCCCCGGAGCGAAGTTATTGAATCCGCTTTAAAATATATTTTTTCTATTAATATATTTTATTTTTAATCATTATAATTTTTATGCTTTAAAAAATTAAAATATTGATCAAGTTTTTATACTCAAGTTTTGACAATAATTTTTTTTAATATATAATATTGTTAATTCATTCACTCTTAGTAGATTGTAAATAAAATTTTATCAGTTTTCAACAAGTAATTTAATAATATAATATGTGAGCAAAAAATAATTTTAAGATAACAAAAAATCATTCTTTACCCACGAATAATGTACACGCATGAAATACAAAATTTTAATAACATAGACAATTTAAATATAAATTATTTGGAATAAAAATTTATATTAAGACAAAAAAAGAACCAATTTTATAGATTTTCACCGCAATAATTAATGAATATAAATTTTTTATGTGAAAGAGTGAAATACAACTATGAACACACCCAAAATATTTAAAAAATTTTAAATCAAAACCCACACAAATGAGTAATTTTGGACTCAAAAAAATTAGATATTGACTTAAACTATTAAAATTTGAACTCTGAAAATTTGAATCATATCTAAAATACAAAAAAAAAACTATTATACTAAAGTGGTAAATTTTATGGAGGCCTCCAAAATGTGAGCTTAACCAAGTAGAGAGTAATATTTGACCTAATAAAATTAGATACTAATCTGAACTAATAAAATTTAGGCCCTAAAATTTTAATCATATCTAAAAAAAATAAAAAAATTAGTCCTATTGTACTAAAAGAATAAATATTACGAGACCCTCTAAAATTTGGGACCCTAGAGGCAAGCATGGGGCTGGCCGGCCCTGCGAGCAGCATCTACTTTGTGTTTAATGCAAATAACTTAAGGGCATTTGGAAATTGTAGTAGACAATGTCATCAAAATTGGATCGGAAATCGAATCGGCAAAAAGATCGGATCAATGGTTCAGTGGTTCAACCATTGGATCAACTAGTCAAACCGATTTTATAATAAAAAAATTAAAAAAATATTTTATATAATAATTTATTTAAAAAATCATAATCATAATAAAATTTATTGTATGTATTATATAGTGTACGGTGTTTTTTTTGACTGTACAGGTTCACCGTGTGTGTGTGCACGTGAAGAGAGAGAGAGAGAGAGAGGAACTAGGGGTGACAATTTTTAATTAACTTGATACGAAATACGATACAAATAAATGAGTTTGAGTTGATTAATTTTTTGACACAACCCGCGTATGACACAACCCGCCAACACGAAATATTAATGAATTGTGTTCGGGTTCAAGTCGTTTAACACGAATTGACCCGTCAACACAAAGTTTTAATTCGAAGGAGATTGACTTGACATTTTCGTTGCATGTATAAGTTTTCATGTTTTGATGATTTTTTTTTATTACTTCTGATGTTTAATTTGATTGTATGATGTACAATTAACATATTTAATTAATATTATATAAATAAAATATTAATTATTTGTAACTGTTTATCAAATATTGACATAATTATTGTATAAAAAAGATATTATTACTCATTATTGTTGTTATTATTATTATTAAGTTAATTTTTAGTTTGTAGAAAAAATATGAGGAGAAATTCAATTAAGTAAAAATAAAATTTAGTATTAAATTTTTTATTTAAAGTTTATGTAAATCAACACGAATATGAACACGAACACGACATGAAAATAAACAGGTCAACTCGACACGACACAAATAATTAAATGGGTTGAAAATGAGTTGACTAATGTTCGACACGACATGAACTCGATACAACACGACTCGATTGGAACCAGCTGACTCCTTGCTGTGTTGGGTTGTAGATTAGGAAAAAACTAAAATAAAATAAAAGGAAAGAGGAGCCTGAAGAGGCAGAACTCCGATGTCGCAGAACTCCAATGTCGCAGAACTCAAATGGAGAACTCAGATGAAGAGGAGAAGAAGACTAACAAAGCTCAGGAGGAGATCAATGGCTGAGAAGGAGGTCGAGATCTGTGGTGTGGCCACTGTTCGAGTTAGATCTGAAAACAATGGAGACGAAGAGACGAAGACGAAGACAAAGACAAAAGGACTGGTGTTGTTTTGAACCGGCCTGTTTTAGGTTCACCGGTTTTTCGATTTTTCACTGGTTCGATTCCTTAAGCAGTCTAATTAAAAAATTGGACCCTTTTAGATCCGATTCTCGGTCTAACCGGTCCAACTGACCGATTCAATCCGGTTCTAATAACAAACACATAAGTTCATGAATCCACAAGTTTCATTACGGTACCCAAAAACACTTTTAAGTGTCATGCTTCTATATTTCAATCAATAAGAATGCAACACCACGAATACAATTTTTTTTTTTTTTAAATGATTTCTCATTACTTTTATATCATTTTTCAAATACATGGATGTGTATTATCCAAATTCAGAATCAATGCCTGCCATTAATGGAGGTACGGTGCCATAACACCCTCATCCCCAAGGCCGAAGAAACTAAATGCTTAGTCTGAATCAACCTTAAAAAGTAAAAACTTGTCTTCTGATTCAACAAGTTGCAACATTGCTGTGTACACTTACATATCCAAGGTAACCCTAGCTTTGCATATCCAAAGAAATAGACCAAGGCTAATATTGAAATTACCATCCCAACACTTAGCTGAAAATAGTAACCATTGCGCAATAAAGCTAGTAAACCCAAACTAATGAAGTTGGCAAGTTCCATACCAATCACATCCATGTCTAGATTAAAAGCCAGGTACACCAAACACACACCAACTTTTCTGTCAACATCCCAAAATTTAGGCATGAGAGATTAGCAGTTAATCTAGAAGCAAGGTTCAGGCACTATTAGTTTGTTACCCAATTAAACAGGAAGTAAGTGTGCCCAAGTATTGACTTTCTACAATTACTCTCACTCGAGACCACAAAATTGAAGACCTTTTCCGAATAGTATTCATGATCCAAATGCATATGACAAGTAACCAATACGAATCCTATGAATGCAGGGCAACTGAGCAGCAAATTAGCAATGAACACAATGTCTGCATAAAGACATCAACCAATGGAGATGTGAAATGACTCAAAACTGCTTGCAAGACCTATTATCAGAATTTATGTTCCCAGGAGTTTCCATGATCAACTCAAGTGCTTTATTGTGAGTTGTTCGTTCCTTGTTTTCTTGCTATCAACACCAAGAACTTCCTTTTGTTCATAGAATAAGTCAGATTCAAGAAGTTCAAGTTATATAAACTTAGAAACCCTATGTCCATTGCTAGATGCACCAAAGGAACTTCTGGAGACAAAGGACTAAGCATTGGATGTCCGCCAAGTCCAACATTCGAATATCTATGTTACTTGAATATATGCTTACACTACTTGGAAGGGCTGATAAGACTACGCAACAGAAATGCTCTGCGGGATAGGTAACAAACAATCATCACAATTTTGGAACCCCCTAAATCTTAAAGTAGTGACCACGAAAGTGTACAATGGATATCCTCTTTTGTTTACATTCGAAAAACAAAGCTACCAAACATCGACATCAAGCTGTTACTGCTTGCTTGCTTTCTCTTTCTCTTTTTTTCTTCTTTCCTTCTCTCTTTACTTTTTTCACTCTTTTGGGGGTACAATAGCTGCTCCAATTTATAGAGTCAACCATACATAAACCTACATGAATTACCATCTGAAGCTCCCATGGACGATATACTTTAGGACTCATAGTACTAGACTCTTCTTAAGAAGACTTTAAAGAAACACTGGTCCAGCCGATGGAACTTGTGTTACAAATCCTTCTCATGTATCCTCCATTAAAACAGAGAATATGAGAGAACTTCCTTTGTTGAGGGTGCAATATAGGAAGAAGTAGTAAAACCAAGCAATTAAGTTGTTGATAGACGTAGAACATTCGAACAAAGAGAAATAGATGGAAAATTGAATTTACATATACAAACAATAGAGGGTGAAACCCTGAAACAAATACCGACATTATGAAAGCTGCTTTTTGGAACATAGAAACATTTAGCACAAGAGAGGGAGCAGAAGTTTGACATATTCGCAAAATGGTGTCAAATAATTAATAACTTAATACTGAGAAAATTAGATGTGAGAAGACATAAATGTAATGAACTTACCCAAGGCACAATAACTACTCATGCAGAGTGATAACATGCATTCCTTTTAGGATCATAACCATTAAATGACATATAATTTGATAATTCACGAAGATACCATGCTTTCTGCAAACACCACAATAGGTAGGCCACATCATGTATGACAGTTTGCATATGAGAAAACAAAAGAGAGAACATTTCCAGTGAAATTGACAGTTTACACTTTGCAGCAATCAGAATCAGCTTCACAAATCAAAAATAGCAAAAAATATATGCTCTTATAAGCATTCTTTCTCCTGCACAATATCTGAATACCATTTATATACGAACAAAACGAAAACCGAAAAGAAGCCACAAAAATGAATGCAGAGAAGAAGCCATAGAATATACAAAAAACATATAATAACAAAAGAGAAACATTACAGGTTCGAGAATCGGCATGAGTTCAAAGGTATGGCTATTGTTACAAAAAAATACACCCGCTAACTACAATTGTACAAAGTAGAAGCGATTGACAGCAAGATCGAAAAGCAACAAACAACCAAGCCACGACATGAAAAGAAACGGAGGGACAGAGAAAGGGAAAGGATCAGACGGAGCGTTTCGAAGAAGAAGATGAAACCAGAGTCCTCCAGAGATAGCGGCCGCTTGCCATGTCCACGCAGGTCCAGAGACCTGCCCCAATTGCCCCCCAAACCTACAATTGCATACACACATTCGTACTTTTACATACACATCCATATCTAATACAGCAAAATCGAAGAATTTGATGCAAAAGAGAGCTGGATCGATATAAAAAACGAAGAGGAAATGGAGAAATTTGTAAGACCTTGGAAGATTGTTTGTCAGAAGTGGATGATGATTCAGAGGGATTATTGACAGAATCGTCGGTGTGGACGACTTGTGGTTGAGATTTGAGGTTCCTCAGCACGAAAAACCCTGCAAGCGTGGCCGAAAGGAAGATCAAGATGATTCTCAGCGGACACATTGCTCTCTTTCTGTGTCCAGGTTCTAGACAGAGGTTCTAGAGAGAGAATTCTTCAGAAAACGAGTACCACCAGAGAGAGAGAGAGAGAGAGGGATTTGTTGAAGAAAAGCATATTAGTGGCGGTAGGTCGTTGTTGACTATTTTCGTCATCCAAAATACACATAATAATGCTTTGCACTTTAACCTCCAATAGTGATTCGACTAAATCTGTCCACTTTCTCTCAAAACTTTTTCCGATTTATTGGTGTTTTTATCGCTGTTATTTATATTTTTGTTATAATTATTTTTATTAATATTTTTTGATATTATAACAATGATAAAAATAATCATAATAGTGATAAAAATATTTAAAAATAAGGTAAATATCCGTACAATAACAAATTTTTTTCTAGCATCATAGACAACTCCAACAATTTTTTTTTTCTCATTTTTGCATAAATATTGAATGTAACAGTAATATCACGTTATGAGTGTCACATAATTATTATTTTTTGGTATGAACATGATAATTACTAGAAGTTTATTTGATTACACGTTAATTTATTATTAATTGATAACATCAAAGTAATAAAAGTAATGTAATGTCATTGTTACATTCAATATTTTCTACCCATTTCTGGGCATAAATTACCAAGGGAAACTGTACATTTTTTTTTTAATGTAGTGAATAGCAATGAATATTCTAGTACCAATTTTTATTTTGAAAAATTACATTGGTGTTTTTTGAGTTAGCATAGAATTCTGAGTATATATGTAAGGAAAAAAGTATAATCCTTGTAACGTTTGAGAGTCAATTCGATTCACATGAGGCTTAAGGAATAGACTAGATATTAATGGGCGTTTTAGATAGCAATATGATCCTTCGATTAAATTCCGTTATTTTTTTCATAAAAAATTGACATTAACGAAAAAAGTAACAAAAATGTCACATTGCAACAATTTTGATACATTAAAGGTGCAATGTAAAAACTTTAATCTTTAAGAATGTGAAATAAAAAACTTAAAATCTTTTAGGGTATAAAGTACAATTCATCTTATATTAATCTATATCTATATAATAAAAGAAAAAACAAATATCATAATTCATAAGTTTACAATTCATTTTGTTAGTAATTACTGGAAATTTAAATTCTTTTATCGAATCAAAGAAGAAATGATTGATGATAAATTTTTATGCTCTACAACCAAAAACTTTCAACAATGGATATTTAATTCATTTATCAAATATTCCGAAATTTTTGTATTATGAATATATAAATCAAAAATAAATTGCTATAGATTAAATTTGTACACGTATCTTATGCACTGGGAGTTCTAAAAGTCACCTCAGTGGACCCCTTTTTTTATAAAAAAAAATTCTTGTGAGTGGATCCACATGTTGATTAAACGCAATTGGAATTTATCTATTGTTTTGAGGCATGCTGTTGCAACAAACATTATTTACTAGAAAAACAAACAAATCTTATACCATTGTGGATATTGAGTGGGACACTAACTACCTAATTCCCGAATAGTCAACCCTTTTCTTTTGAAGCTAGCAACAGGCCTAATTGGACTTTAAGGTTGCAAATCCGAACTCGTCGTCCCCTTCCCTATAACAGTGTTCTGACCCAAAAATACACCCTTTTCCTGGTTTTTTTTTTTTTTGAGGAACAATTGTGCTAACCCTATTGGCAGATTTTGTAGATCCAATCCAACCCAATTCAATTTAACAACTACTTTATCATACGACAAGATTGTGCAAACCCTATTTCTTTTTGCATTTTGTGGATAGTTTAATTAAAGGATAAGATTGTTTAAGGCAGAAAAAAAGTATATGCATGAGTTACCCTATATTTTAATTAAGAAATAAGAGAAAAAGAATTCAATTTAACTGGCAGAGTCACATAATAATGCAAGACAATCAGAATGTATTTGAATAAATAAGAGATTGTGAATTTCTTCCTATTTTTTACTGGCTCATGCAAGCACAAACCAATGACAAAGAGAGATTATATCAGCAAATTAAATCACAATAACATTGTTCAATAAAAGTAATCGCACAACATATAAGTTAGGTCACCAAATCTTTGAATTTGTCATCCTGTGGTTGTGAACATAAAACTGGCGTAATTTGCATGCTACCGTGATCACTCAAACACACTGCCCCACCACTCGAACAGACCAGTTTGTTTTCAAATCAAGTTGCCTGATGGATCATATGCAAAATTGAACACACCTACTACGATATCTAGAAGAGCATGAACAATAAACTAAGTGAAAGGGTCGTCCATAGTGATGTTTTAACCACCTTCACTATCGTAATGACATCAACAATATAATCAACAGTCATCCCATAATGCTAGCTCTTTAAAGGACTTGGATTCCGATGACTTAATTCAAGAGGGACTCACAATATATGCAGGTTTCCCACTGACACATAGTAAATAATCAACTATTTCGAGTTTGACAAAGTATTTACCACAAAGGATCCAAATCCCTTTTTATATGTTGATTCGATCAACATATAAGGCATGACAGTATCTGAACCACAGACAACAAATTTAGTAGAACCTTCGAACCACGTTAAGAGCTAGAGTGCACCACATTAGTCAGTAGATATACAGGCAAGTAACTTTCCTCACCAAATAAACGGAGTAATTTGCCAAAGGATCCCACGAATACTCAGCAGAAAAAAATCTTAATCCACACGTTCCCGACTTTCAGTTTTGAAAAATGGGAGAATAAATTCCTTAAAGACACCATTTACCACTGGATACCTTTCCGTTCTACAAATATTGTCAAGCAAGATGAAACTGGCTGGCTAGATAGCCAGATAACTTCGAAAAAACAGTTCAGCCTCCAATCTGCACACAAACAGACCACATTAACCTCACATGATATCAGTGGAGGTTGAGCCCTAATGTAATATGCTATATCCTGGGACCTATGTCAACACAGCATAGCCAACTGGGAGCCAGTATCAACAGTATAGAAGAATTAAGCTTTATGTACAACCCTTATTAGTGGGACTCAGATCAACTTCAGTACACCATCCTTTCAATTTCCCCAATGCTAGACCATATACTATGATTCGAAGTGACGTCACATCATACATGATGGGTGGCCATTGAGAGAATTGACAGAAAAGTGCATGTGAGAGGATGCAAATCCATTAAAGTAAAATCTAAGGGAACTGGGTCAAGATGAGGTTAGTTCAATACCACCGAACCTGCCAACATTATCAGATGATATGATGAACGGTTGATGAACTGAAACCCAGTATATTAATCGGATTGATCTCCATGTTAAAAGAAATCCGGTTGGTCATTGTTATTTAGGAGTCATATCCAAACCCAAAAATGATTGAAGGGTTTAGGTAAGGTTTGGGCCAAAATTATACTTTCAATTTGATAGAAACTGACATTTTACTGCAATTAACATGAAACTTCGTCCAAAATACCTTCTACAATTTTGCAAACCGAGCAACCTTAGCAAGCGCCGTTCTTAAACATTGGAAACCAGCTCCAGTTTTTGAGCTTACCATCATCTGGAATAAAAACCAAAGCCAAAGTACTAAGCTAGTCCTATACAATACTGGGCAAAACATCAAATCAAATTAAAGAATTAAACTTATTACCACAGGCTGCACAACAGACTTCTTTGCTTTGAGGCTCTACAAAACCACATCATACATATGAATAGTAGTCCAACGGGCAAGCGTTACAGACATAAGAAAAAAGTTGATGGATTCAAGTAATACCTCTTCAATTTGCGTTGCACGGCGTGCCACATCAATTGGGAATACCAAATCCGTCTTTGTTAACACAATCTGGTATTTTGTTTGAGACCTTTCAATCAATAACGAAAATCACAAATCTGAGTCCACAAAGAATTTTCTCATGCAAAGGGGAAACTAGATGTCCCCACAGTCAAAGGAAAATAAGAATACACACAAATAAACCCCAACCAAAATACATGGGAACTAGTTTCAGATCCATAAATCAACAATGATAATCACCAAATTGCATTCATACTAAGACATATTTCTTTATGAAGCACAAATCAGATGCCCCATCACCAAAGAAAAACACACACAAAGACAGAGAGAGGGAGGAAGAGAGAGGAGAATGCAAGGTTTGTATCGTACTAAGGGCTCAAGCAGCAACTTGAGTATCCCATGAAAATTTTATGGCAGCAATTATATTCTTGTGTAGTTCATTTGGTGTTGATTCTATCACAGCAATGACTTGATTGAAAATGATAAGTTGAAAGCTTCCTAACGATAAAATGGATTAGTCAACGACTATGACAAAGCAACATCAAAACTGAAACATGTAGTGCATCAAATTCTATTCCAACAACATCTGCCCCACAGAAACTGAACGGGTAAACAAAGCAAGACATATGAAAATGTCAACGACATATAGATGCAATCAGATCAATTTTCAAAAAAAAAAGGGGGGGGGGGGGAGGGCTGTCAGTGGTACAGAGCAGCAATTTGTGAGATAAAACCCTTGGGGTGTTCAGCTTTAACAACTTAAAGATTAAATAAATAAGACCTCAATCCAGCCCAATGAAACCCGCCTTCCAAGGAACTGAAATTTAAGAATTATTTGAGAACCCAGAGCCCATCTATCTATGTGTTCATCTGAAGTATTGATCACTAGATCATATATAGAAAGACAAAAGGCAAGTATTTTGGAAGAGAAAACCAAAACACAACTAAATAAATGGCAGAAAACCAAAAGAACACAAGAAAAAAATCATTCTGTACTTATTAACCATGGAGACTTGGACCAAAAGATAACCTATATGGGATTCAGAAAACATCAACCTAAAGACAGGGACTCAGACAAACAACATCATTGAACCTGTGCACGAGCCGAACAATAGCTAGTGCTGCCCCCCACCACCATAGAGTGGGTACCCAAAAAAAAAAAAAACAGAAGTTCCTCACTCATATGTGTTTTTCTGTTATACTTAATTGCAAACTCAATTTCACCAATCCAGAATTCTTGAGTATAGCAACCTAGCAAATATATCTCATGTGTTTACCTTTCCATCATATCGATGAGCTCATGATCCCTAGGCTTCATACCCCATTTCGTGTCAATGAGAAGGCACACTCTCTTTAGACCAACTCGTGTTGAGACATATTCTTTCACCTATAAAATTGAAATGTATCAAATCTGAGTTGCAAATTGAATCAACTAATGTCTATAAATGACCAGCCAACGCAGCTAAAACATGATCATGAACATACATACCAATGCATATTCACAGTAAGTAGAGGGCCAATTAAAGGGAAAGTAGTCAAAGCATAGTCTAATTCGTCTCCAGTTCAACAAATTGCCACTTCTTACACTCGGAAAATACCTTGTTTCAAATTCCTACCTAAAGTGCGATACTCTTCCTTTTCTTGATCTTGATTTGCATAGAAATTTTGTAAAGAGCATTCGTATTTCGTTTAACAACAAAACAATCACAATTCTATCTTGAGTATCATTCGATACTTCTTCAGTCAGAAAAGAAATGTTCTTGCCTTATGCAATAACAGGCATGCTTCTTTAAGATTGTCTTTTTTTTTTTTTTTTGGATACAAAACAAACATTTTATCAAAAATGATAATAAGTACATCTATATCAAAGGAGTGAATAAGAAGTCCAAACCTCAAAACAAAAACAAGAAGTAGAAAAAAGAGAACAAGACACAGTAGCCTTCAGACTATCATTTGAAAGGAGTCTATAAATAAAAAAACAGCTTCAAGGTTGTCTTGAAACGGCTATACCAACATAAATCACATATCATTTAACAGCACCAACATTAGTCTTTCGATAACATCTAAGAACACAAGTTTTGGTATGTGGGTGATGATTTTGATTAAGATGTTCTGTTTGCCTGGTTGCCCCTTGTAAGTTCAGCAATAAAATTGCTGGTAATTTCCTAATCTTTCAAGCCAAAATTCCTCATTTATAGGGGTTGCTGTGCAGAAGAGGTGCCACAAATAAGATGCCATGTGGACTAAGATGGAATAAGAGTAGGTTTGAGAGAGAATCAAAGTGTCTAAGAGGGAAGCTTGAGGCAACGATTGTGCTCAGAAAAATTCATGAGTCACTATCACGAGCTCTGGAGAGTTTCTGAAGAGCATAACGAGGCATTGATGCCCTTTATGCAGGTGTGAGCAACATGCATTGGGTTAGATATGGTTGGACCAAGGCTCAATCCCCTATGGTGGCAGTTGACGTCAAGGGCCTGAGGTCAGGCCTTTCTCAGAGGCAGATGATTGTGGGTCCTAAGAGATACTATTGGATTCTTCATCATGATCACTGGAATGAAGAGGCTTTGAGGAACTTCTTCCCAGCATTAGATGTTCATTGAATGAACCTTAATGCAAGCTCAATGTAAACGGCAGTCTATACGTTTGCACATTGTAATGATGTTCTTACCTGCAACAGGAGGCAGGCAAGTGTGCCTTGA